TTTTGAGCATTCAATAATTTGTCCACATGTCTATGACTATCATTAAGTTCTTTTTCTCTGGTTTCAAGTGTCTTAGTCAACAATTCGTTTTTCTCTTTAAGAAAATCAAAGTTACTTTTTAAAGCTTCGAATTGTAGATTAAGCTTTGAAACCATACGGTCAATAGACATGTCAACAACCACTGGTTGCTTGTCCTTTTTCAGTTGATTGATTTCCGCATGCAAATCGCAAATATTACTTTCATACTTATCAATCATATTACTGACATCTACACTGGTACCTGTAGGGGAAACAGTGAACTGTGCAGCTTTAAGTGAAGCAATTTCCTTGTGAGAATTTTCCAGGTTGTAAGCCAATGTTTCAAAGGCCTTCAACAAGGAAGTTCTAGTACATGAATTTGCTTTACTTATAGCTACTGAAAAATCAAGAGTATCACTAGTGGTTGATAAGTCTCTAGGGAACCAGGAGGTCAGATCCTCTTCACCATCAATTGGTTCAAACGATCTTTCCTTTTCTAGTTCCACTTTACACTTGTCCAATTCAACCTCTAGTTCTGCTACTTGATTTTTTAGTTCATAACAGACTCCTTCTAGATGATCACAGCTAGCAATAGCAATATTACATTCACCACTTTTTTCTTTTAATTCTCTTTTGCAAATTATGTATGTTTCACTTAATTTATAGCATTCATCTAGTAAGGAGTCAATACAAGCAAGCATATTTTCTCTATCATATTCATGCATATCTTCTCTAATTTGCTCTAAGCTTACCTTGCGTTCATGTAGTACATCCTTCTTTGCCATAAAGCATTTGTTGAATGTACTGGTTCCCCCTCTGGTTCCTGGACCAGTGTTGTTTTCCTTGATGTTTGTAAAGGCAGTTAGGCAAACATCTGAGTTGGGTGATCCTTCTTCTTCATCTGACCCTGAGTCAGAGTCTCCCCACATGGAAGCTATCATGGCATTCTTGTATGCTTGTTTATCTCCGGATTTAGACTGTTTGTCATTCCACTTAGGACAATCTCGAATAAGATGTCCTTTTTCTCCACACTTGAAACATCCTGTAGAAGAAGAATTAGAGTTAGATTTTTTATAGTTTTTAAAATGCTTACCTTTGAAATTCTTTCTTTGATCTCGAAGAGATCTCTCAAATCTTTTTGCAATCATGCTAATTTCATCTTCATCATCTTCTACTGTTCCCTTAAGCGCCATGCCTCTTGCTGGTTCCTTCTCAGACTTAGAGTCAATCAGCATCTCATGAGTCATAAGGGAACCAATCAGCTGTTCCAGAGACAAGGTAGACAGATCCTTTGCTTCGTATACTGCTGTTACCTTGGCTGTCCATGCATCTGTTAAACTACGCAATAATTTTCTCACAAGATCCTCGTCAGATAAATTTTTACCAAGAGATCTAAGATCATTTACAATAGTCATAAACCTACGAAAGCAATCATTGATTTTTTCATTTTTATTCATGGCAAACAATTCATATTTAGACATGATTAAATCAATTTTAGACCGTTTTACCTCACTGGTTCCCTCAAACGCAAGTTCAAGGGTGTCCCATATCTCCTTAGCACTACTGCAGCCAGATATACGATTTGTTTCGGTCTCACCTATTGCTTGTTGTAGTATTGACATTGCCTTAGCATTCTTCTCCAGCAACTTGTGATCAGCAGTGACCAATTCGCTATCTTTCTTGGGAACCTGGTTCCCCTCAACATCTGTCTTGAGAATGATATTAGGACCATTTTTAACTACGAGCCAGCATTCATAATCAATACCCATGATAACATTCTGGATCCTGTTCTTCCACCAAGCATAATTATTTCCATTAAACTTGGGTGACTTGTTGTCATAACCGATTGCACTTAATTCTTGAGTACTCATTCTTAACTCCTCTAGATGTTACTCTTTCGAGAAGCTTAGGCTCTGATACCAATTGAAGGTTCAATGGGCACTCAAGAGGGGGGGGGGGTGAATTGAGTGTTAAGTAATCGTTAGCGATTTTTGCTTCTTTTCGGATTATGTGTAAGGAACCAGTTGTGCTGGTTCCCTTATGCAGCGGAATAAAACAAAGCAATAAAGAACACAACAAATTTAACGAGGTTCAGCCAACTCAGGCCTACGTCCTCCTATCCTAAGTCCTTTATTAATCTACTCCGAAAAACAAAGACAAAGAACACTCTACTGTTTCCCTACTCCGGGAACCAGTCTACCCCACACTCTACTCCGAGTGTGCTCTCGACTTACACTCGTAAGCCCAATGTGTTTGAACTCACAAACACTCACCCAGCCTTTAACCCCTTTGTTAAAGACTCAATACAAGAATCAAGAACTCTCCTTTGATCTCACTTCTACGAAGCTAATTAAGAGAAAATGTTTTTGTACTAGAATGCTCTTGTATATGACTTGATGAATGGGATTAGTGCTTAAGTATATGCTCTCAAATAATTGCTCTTTTTAATTTCTGGAGAGGCACCCGAAATATGTGAAATAAGATGAGTTTATATAAGCTTAGATTCCTAAAACCTAGTTTCCTTAAATCACAAAATCTTAGAGAATAAGATATATTGTAATTTTAGGAAAGTATTTATCTTATTTGATTTAATCACAAAGATAGAATCAATTAAGATAAATACTCCTATTTTTTAGGTAACCAAGAATATTTCATCTTATTTCCAGCTGCACAAAATATTTTCAAAATAATCTTTTCGAAAAAATCTTTTTGTAAAATCTTTTTCCAAAACGGCAGCTCGAATATTTCGTACAGTGAACCTGGTTCCCCGACCTGGTTCCCTGAATTGAAACATGTTATGAAACCTGTTCCAACTTTGTACCAGATTTCATATCATACTTCAATATACTTTTAAGCACTTATATAACCCAAACATGCAAGCATACTACGGAGCATATTACATGAAAACCTAGATAACATATTAAAGCATAAATCGTCTTTTCTTCATGTAATCTTCAAGACTTGAATCTTCCTTGAATACTTCTATTATGAGCAAACAATCTTTCTTCGAAATATCTTCGAAAGGCTTCTATGCTCCAAGTCTTGGAATCAACTCAACTACTGCACATGTAACATGGTTAATGCACAATAAAGAGTATGTGACTGCTTTTCCGCATAGCAGTTAAGGAAACGGTTCATACTGGTTCCCCACCAGTACATAGCACATTTATCATCTAACTGTTTCCTGTATATAGATAAGTTAGTTCAATAGATAACTCATATAATCAATAACTTATCTAGGAAAACAGTGTTCTATTTTAGTTGGTTCCCCCAACTGTATTGAACACTTTCAAAGACCTGTTTCCCTTAGCTGTTTGTCATCATTCAAAACTATCAATCAAAACCTAAGGGACTCAATAGTGTTAGAGGACCAACTCAACCAAAAGCTTAAGCTGATGGTTGAGGTCCAGGAATATGTTATATACTCTATCACTCCCTCTCACATGAAAGGCCCCTTGGGCTTGAAATGTGGATGCAGCACAGACCCTATCATACCCGGCGCGAATTCCACTTTAAAGGAGGGGTGGATGAGATTCGAATCCGTGACCTCTATGTCACGTTGGCTCTGATACCATGTTAGAGGACCAACTCAACCAAAAGCTTAAACTGATGGTTGAGGCCCAGCGAATTAGTTCCACTTTGAAGGAGGGGCGGATGACATTCGAACCCGTGACCTTTGTGTCACGCTGGCTCCGATACCATGTTAGATGACCAACTCAACCAAAAGCTTATACTAATGGTTGAGGCCCAGGAATGTGGATGGTGCACAGGCCCTTTCATACCCGACGCGAATTAATTCCACTTTAAAGGAGGGGTGGATGAGATTCGAACCTGTGACCTCTATGTTGGTTCCGATACTATGTTAAAGGACCATCTCAACCAAAAGCTTAAGTAAGGCCCAGGAATATGTTATATACTCTATCAGTTAGAAGTGTACACGTATAAAATAATACTGTACAGTGTAAGTTTATCAACACCAGCTAAGTAACTAACACCATGCTACATGTCTCATTAGGCTCTGATTGCCTCATACATTCCCTTCTCTTAATTCTTCATGATTTCATCTACTCATAATATAATACTTTATGCAAGAGACCAAGACCACACATCCTCGGTTACAGCTCTCCTTACTTTTTGTATCACTTCCAATTATTATGAAGTACATAGTGGATCGACTAATTACCAATGTCAACTAAAACATGGCCGATACATAGATTGTGGGATAATATAACCCGAATCATTTATGTAAAATTTCTTGTATTATTCTTGTAATGATTAGTTGATGGTTGAAGCCCAAAATCGATTTAGATACTCTATCAAGCATCAATTTCAATCCCTATCCAACAAAATATCCATTATATTTATTTGAAATGAGTATGCCTTTGAAATGCCCTTGGCTCAACTAAGCTTAGTTGGACTTGGTATAAACAAGGCAAGCTCATCAATCAAGCAAAGGACCAACACAAGAAGAGCGTAATATCCTATAATGATTTGCGACTTTATGTATTTTGTTTGGTTAGTAGGTTGAGTACTAGTTTTTAAAGACTACAGTTGTTTTACTTGCTTACTTTGTGAGCTTTTCTTTATGCAAATTATTACTACCGATGTCAAAAGGAAAAAAACATAAAAAAAAAATAGAACATATTCGGTAGGTCATTATAGTTTAAGAGAATAAAATAAATATGAAAGTTATTGGAGTTCAAATTATTGATACTTGATTAATAGTATTATAATTTATTAAAATTTCATGAACATCTAATAACTTATCATTGTGCTCTTCTCATTTGTCTAGATAGTGTTTCGAATTTCAAAAAACACAATTATGCTAAATCAAGGATATAGTCATTTAGTAAGTAGTAGTACCTCAAAGGAATCCAAGAATGTCTATAATAATGATATGGGGGAAATTTAGACACATTCGATCTAATAAATATATACTGCAATTCCTACTTAATCCTAGTGTTTATTTTTAGAACAACCAAGCATGTGGAAAAATTCAATTATTGCTTTGTTCACACCCTATAATACATATAAAAACAAAAAAACATACATACAGCTAGCTATTTTGCTAATATATATTCGTTCACATAATAAGAAATTTCCAAATATTATTTCACTATCACCCAACTTGTAACTTTGAATTTAGACAAAAACATGGACCGACTCCCATCGGTCTGTCCAATCGTTAATACATATACAAACTTACAATAAGAAAGACAACACCAAAATATAAACACTACCTTAACCAAAAATAAATAAACCAAACTCCGCAATTGAGCTAGCAACAATGAGAGGCTAAAAGCAAGTTTGTTGCACAACACACTAGCAATGGCTAATAGCAAGCTTATGTCTTCTCGTACTTATTCGGGGACGTTTCCTAGTCCGGAAACGCCCCCGTGTGGTGAGGATGATGACCCCAGTATTGGGATCCCGAAAGGCTGGAGCTCGGAACGAGTTCCGAGCTCCAGCTATCGTAGCCGTAGGTACGTAGCGGCAGCAGCATTAATGCCATTTAGTAGTGGTAGGACGCTGCCTTCTAAATGGGAGGATGCTGAGAGGTGGATTTGTAGTCCTGTTAGTTTAGGAAATGTTTCAACTAATAGTAATTATTGCTATTATGGGGGCGGGCCTGGAGCCGGGTCTAGAACGGCTGTTCATCTTACACATCACCAAAGACGGGCCAAATCCAAGAGTGGCCCGTTGGGCCCAATCGGGCCTGAATATTATGGTGGTGGGTATAATAGCTTTTCCCCTGTGTTGGGGGTAGGAGTTATAAATGGTGGTAGATGGAGGAATTCACTTACGATTGAGCCTTCGGGCTTGGCCTCGGCCCGGTTTGAAGAAAGATTGCCTATCGAAGGCGGTGGTGTGAGTGAAGAAGCCCGGAGGTCTTGCCCCGGGCATGATGCCAGTCATTGGATGGACTCGTGGAGCGGGCCGCCTAGTCCTACCCAAGGTAATCCCTTAATTATGTACGAGTATGAAAGCAATTTTATTGATCAATTTCTAGTAAGGTGCACAGTAGCAAATTAGCAACTAGCCAACTAGTAGCATTGTAGCAATCTGTAAATGTAAAATAGTGCATACTCGTAGTTAGTACTACAATACTGTATTACACTGTCCAATTTCAAAGTTTTAGGGGAGTTATGAGAAGAAACGAAAGTGACTAGAGATATTATTGGGAAATTGGGCACACTCTTGGCTTGGGGTAGAGTTAATTAAGGCTAGCAATTAAGTCTTATTGATTTAGGTTTTTGAGAGGTACCTATGACCAAACACCCATGTTCCATGTTAAGCTTAAATAAATCATTGTTATTTAGACAAGACTTGTGAGTTGTGAGAAGAATATAATATAGGAATAAACATAAACTTATCATAATGTAAACAAATCAATTTGTGTATGTTGTTTTCTTGCTTTTGCACCACTCATTGTTTTCTTTTGTATTGTTATAACACATAAATACCAATTTCTTAACATGTGCAATAAAAAAATGACTGTTGAGTATAGGCTCAAGGCAATCTTTTCAACTAGCACATGATATGAAATTCAACCGATGCATTTCAACCAAAATTCTAAATTTTTTTCAAAGATATTGACAGCTAATGCATTGTTGAAGTTGCATTTGTGAGTAACAATAAAACATATTTGTTTATTAGATCAAATAGGCGAAGTTGGATTGACGGGTGAACACAATGAGGTTCTAGACAATAAACTTGAACAAGAAAATGACAATGGTGAACCTGAAGTCGAACGAGCAATTTCAAGAAGAGATATGGCAACTCAAATGTTCCCTGAAAGTCACAGTAATAGTACTTCCACAATTTCAAGTCCGAAATCTTCGATTTCAAATACATCTCCTCGTCCATTACTGCATAATGAATCTAAAAGGGATGTCCAAATTCCGGACTTTGAAGTCAGGGATGTACAAGTTGATAAGCAAACAAGTACTTCAAGATCTTACCATGACAGAGACAATTACTTGAATTCAAGTACATGCGTAGAGGTTGACAACAAAATCTCCAAGTATGAATTTTCCCCTTATCTATTCATCACGCTTAATTCAATGTGTTACCATACATGATATACCACTCCAAAGTCCAAACTGATTTTTTTAGCTCAAGTATCAAGTATCTTAGGTTACATTTTCGTGAATCTTATTGAATTGAATTGATCATTGTGTGATTAATACTAATTTGCAAATCCAATTACATATATCGCTCAAATTTGCGTTAACCTATGAATACCAGAGATTGAATTGTATCATCACTCTCTTTAGTCTCTTAAAACATTACAAAAAAAAAAAAAACCATATATAATAAATCCGAAGAAGAATAAGTTGGTTATTGTTGTTGTGCTTCAAATTGATTTGAATATATTTACAGGCAGTAAGTAGTTTAACAATATTTTTATGTTGATGGTTATTGTGAATAGGTTTGAGAGAAAGGAAGCTAGGATAAATGCGTGGGAAAACCTACAAAAAGCCAAAGCTGAAGCAGCTATTCAAAAACTCGAGGTAAATTAGTAATTTTTGCTTGAATATTCTATTTAAATAAATTTATGGAGGGAACAATCAGACATTAACTAAGCTATAACAATTACTTTGCACGATATTCTTTTAAATCCTATGGATCAAATTCAAATATAGGCAACAAATTAAAGCAATTGCAAGCTTGTAAATGACTTAGTGTTCTGCTCTTCTAATGTTATTATATTTTCTATATTCCAATTTAGCTAAACCCTACATTGTTCGCACATGGATTTTTTGGAAATTGAAAAAAATAATGGGTTGGTGTAAGTAAAACCTAATTTTTAGAGAACCAGAAAAGGGAAATTACTTGCATAAATGGTAGGTTATAACCTTAGCTTGGAACACAACTAAATTGTAATGTATATGTTGCAGGAGAAGTTGGAAAAGAAAAGAGCATCATCAATGGATAAGATCATGCGAAAATTACAAAGAGCTGAAATCAAAGCAGAGAAGATGAGAAACATAATATCCGGTGATGATGATTATATTGAAAGTCAAGCTATTTCGAAAACAACTTCTAAAATCCCTTCGTTTTGTAAAATGATTCGATTGAATTCATCAACTAAAAAGTGTGCTACTTGTTACCCGTTTTAAAGTTTATGTAAATTGAATGCTACCCATTCAATATGTCTGCTACATGTTTACACTTGAAAACAGACTTTAACTTGTAGTGGTCCAGTAGTAGCGTAGAGCTTTAGACCTTGTACATTAAGCATATTTATTTGCACATAAATCTATAATATAGACTTCGTATTTAGCATGACTTGCAAGATTGAAATTTTTACTCATTAAGGCTCTTCAAAATTAGCAAATGAGTGAAATTGTACTCTTAGTACTTCATAATTAGGATAGAGAACAACACCTAAGACTTTGTATTACATAATGGAATAGAGTTATCCATAGTACAAAGATGAAAACATATAGAATGTGACCTACAACAAGATAAAACTTGGTCTAGATAAACAAAGGTGATAAATGGTTCAATTGGACTCGATTTTTGCCAAATATTGCGCCATTGTGGCATTACACTTCATTACAATTTTTTTTGCCACTTCACCAAACATTTTTGATATTAGAAAATTTAACTTATGTTTAAATGCATCAAATTCGTTCAATATTCAAGTTGGACCGGCCTTAAACATCGGGCAAAATTTTTCTTGCACAAAACTAGCCTTATACTCCCCATGAATCTAAAACTTAGAGGTGATTATTGGGAGGGTCGGGCCGACCAAAGCTAAAAAATTAAGGCCACTTGTTGGACCAAGCTTCGAGTCAGAATTTTCGTGTCCAAATTGGTCGCACCGCGCGGGCTTTTCAGGCCGGGTCAAGCCAATGAGCCGGGCTAATTTTGAGCACCTCTACTAAAACTACACGGGCCGAGCACATGTTGATCACTTCTCGAAGCTAAGTTAGCAAAATCGGGCATTTATCGAGCTTAAGATAGTCTGGGTTATTTTTATTTTATTTTTACTTTTTATTTTTTTGAAGAGAATTTATTACAAGTAATTATCAATTATATTATTGCACATATAATGATATAAATAGGATGGTTATTTTCTTAAAAAAAAATAAATAAATTGGTTATATATATATAGAAGAGCTCTAAATAATTATCCGTAAAAGGGTTACGATACGCACTTCGCCGGTGTTTTTTGGGTGATTCAGTCTGAGCGCCGCGAGCTTACGAACGAAAGGGGGATTGAGTTTAGAGACCGCAGTAGAGGTAGAAGAGAGGGGAAGAGAGAGATTTTCTGCGCTAGGGTTTTCAATATTCCCTGTTATTCCAAAGGTAACAATTAGGCGTTTTCGATTAATCTATCTAATCTTCTTGTTTCTGATTGTTTTAATCTTTCTAAATTTAATTTTTGTGGATTTATTCCTCAATTGATTGATTAATTTGATAAATTTTGAGTGATGAATTAAACATTTTTCTGGAAAAAAAATTTGGGTGAATTTTTTGGGGTTGAGATAATAATTGATGATGACGACGTCGATGATGATGATGATGATGATGTATGTGTGTGAGAAAGAGGTGCGTTTATCATGTGCAGGCTACGAGTGTGAGAGGGGAGGAAGAGGAGAGAGAGAGGTGAGTCTTCGTGAGCTGAGCGTGAATTCGAGAGAGAGGAAGATTATTTCATTATTCCAGATTGTTTCTTCGCTCCTTTTTGCTTCATTCCAGCCGTTTAGGGTTTTTGTTTCGCCGCGTTTCGAGCCATTGTCATCATGGAGAGAAAGCTTGTGGTAAGTGCTTATCAATTAGCTATATATGTTGCTGTATTATGCTTGGAATAATGCTTGAAGTGTGGTGGTTTTCAAATTTATACGATTTATCGAATTTGGGCGATTTCTGTAGGTTCTCGGTATCCCTTGGGACATCGATACCAATGGGTTGAAGGAGTACATGATTAAATTTGGAGAATTGGAGGACTGCATTGTTATGAAGGTATCAAATTTCTCTGTTTTCTGAAATCGCATTAGTATTTGTTATATTGTTTAGGGTGTTGTGATTATTCGAGAAGCATGTTATGGATGATTGGAATATGTGATGTGATGTGATTGTGACTTTGATAGAGTATAAAGTTGAGAAATATGAAGTGCATTATGCTTCTACCTAATGTTCTTTATATTATGCACATATTCAGTTGTGTTTCTGGACAGAAAAGTTTGAGATACTAAATTGGGAAGTGAATGGGAAAGAATAAAAGGGAAGAGAACAAGGGTAAGGCGAGGGATGGGGGGAAATGTACCGTAACTTCCTCACAATAAGAATTTACTTTCACACCTTTAACGAACCAGGTTTCTGGAAATTATTATCTTTCAATCAAATACAGCACTATTACGACCTTCTAAAGCAGATTGATTTGTTGATTTTTCTGAACGCATATGTCAAGCAGTCAATTACTCAATTTACTCAAGGACCTGTATTTTAATTGCATTTGATGATGAACTTCTAGAGTATAGACTTCTATACTTGTATTTCTTAATTTTTATCATATCTAGCTAATAAATTCTGATCATTAGTCATCAGCTAATTGTTAAATATGTTCATTGTGCTTTACGGAGTATAACTATCTTCACAATCATTTTATTTTTCTGTGTGATTTACTAAGCTTGATCACTGTGATCACTGTTGGAATTCTTTATTTTCCACTGGAAGATTTTTAATGTTGCGTGGTTTGAAAGACTTCATTTTGGTAATCTGGCTATCTTCTAAGGAATCCTTGTTTTTGAAATTGACTGATTAGATTTTTGCAATTGCCTTTTCAATGCTTGGCACATTATAGGCTGTCTTTGTGCAATCTATAACTATCCCTCATTTCTCCCCCTGTTTTTATCTTTTAACGTATGACAATTTAGGTGTGAGAGAATGAGTTGCACACTTGCACCTGACTCTTCCTATACGTTGTTATTACATCTGTAATTTTGTTGGTTTTTTGTTTGCATGCTACTGAATGGATTCTTCTGCATTCTCTCGTGTTTTAGGAGCGTAATTCTGGCAGATCACGTGGTTTCGGCTATGTCACTTTCACTTCTGATGATGATGCTAAGGTAGAGTAGCTTTATAATCTTAGAATATCTTGATTTCTGCATAAAAACTGTCTTTATATTCTGATGGGATTCATTCTTAATCTGGTTCACCTTTAGCACTCTTTTTTCTCTTTGTTCGGAATAACTGATATGGCCTGCTCTTTTCTGGTTTTAGAAAGCACTATCAAGTGAGCATCACCTTGGCAACAGAGTGCTGGAAGTAAAAGTGGCAACACCAAAGGTGTTTTTCTCTTGCCATTTATTGTTTTATCTTCCTCTTCTTTGGTCAAGTTGTCCTTCTACTGATTATGGAGTTAATTGCAGGAAGAAATGATGAGATCATCTTCGAAAAAGATAACCAGGATATTTGTTGCAAGAATTGCACCATCTGTTACTGAATCTACTTTCCGGAGGTGAATATTATTAAGCCTGAGTTGAAAGTAGAATCAATTCTCATGAATACTTTCATGCTTTCTAAATGTTAATATTTTTTTTTATTTTTTATTTTGAAATCAGTTCACTCATATATATTGGTTTTCTGACTTTACCTCTTATTCCCATTTTCCTTTCTTTCAGCCATTTTGAGAAATATGGAGAGATCACTGATCTTTACATGCCTAAAGTAAGTTTGTAGAGTTAATCTTTAATACTTTTTATGTACTAAGACACTGCTTAACCTTTTTTTTTTTGGAAATGTTTAGGATCCCACCACAAAAGGCCATCGTGGAATTGGGTTTATTACCTTTGCTAGTTCAGGTAATCAAATCAATTTTAACTGTTCTTTCTCATACATTTGTTCTTTTTTTTTTTTTTTTTTTTTTTTTCTCGCTTGACCATCTTGGTAAGCGTCTATATTAGACTAAGATTTAGTGGGTTTGTCATTGCATTATTTAACTTTTTCAAGCTAAAATTTTGTGCTAGTAAAGTTTATCAAATTTCTTGAAGTGGTTTTACGTTAAATGTCTATAATTTTTTTGGATTCTTCTGGATTTAGCAAATTATTCAAGTGGTTTTGGCAAGTTAATTCTTCAGGATTTGTCGAATCGTTGACTTACACTTTGGTCAATAACATGTACTTGAAGGAATAAGCTATGATTTGGGGTGAAACATGAATCTTCTTGAAGAATCAAATGTAGTTGTAGGGTTTTTTTTTTTTTTTTTTTTTTTTTTTTTTTTTTTTTTTTTTTGGTGTCACTTTAAAGCAGTGATGATATTGATATCATCTTGCTGTAATGATGCATTTTGAAACCAAATTATAGAATTGCTAGAATTGAAGGTATCTGTGTTGAATTGTTTGTTGGGAGTTAAGGTAGCATGTAAATGATGTAATCAAGAAATATCAACATAGAAAATCTGTGGGAAATATAAGTTGATAATTTTTGGAATAAAATTTGCTGTTTTTTTTTGTTTTTTTTTTATTTTTTTTATTTTTTAATATGAATAATGAATTGTGGTAATTGTTCTGCTTGTGCAGAATCGGTTGACAGCCTGATGAATGATACTCATGAGTTGGGAGGTTCAACGGTAGTAGTTGATCGAGCTACACCCAAGGTAATATACACTTGTTTATTAGTTTTTCAATTGATTCTGATCCTTTGGTCTTTGGATTATGGTTATCACTTATTAATGAATATCCATGGGTGGTGACCGCTGGGAGGATTAGAGTGAGAAAGGGGATGGTTTTAGGATGATTTGAGTAACTGAAAGACCTCGCTCTATTTGTCACCCTCTTCTCTCGTTCTTTACTCTTTTGTTGGGTTATCCATAATTACGCTCTTTATTCATTAGGCTGTTGAGTCCTATGTTGGAACAGAAATTCCTTGCTTCTCTGTTTTTTTTGAATGACCGTGCTCTATTTATCACCCTTTTCTCTCTTTCTTTACTCTCCTGCCGGGTTATTCATAATTATGCTCTTAACTCATAAGGCTGTTGAGTCCTATGTAGGAACAGCAATTCCTTACTTCTCCCTTTTTTAAAATGTTTAGTTCTTTTAACTTTTAGTATTCTTAACTCTTTAAGTTTCATTGTGCAGAAGTCAAACTAGGTAAAGTAAAAAATAACAGAGGAATATTTTATTACTTCTGCATTTCAACTGACTAGAATTTGTTTAACATTGTTTCAGGATGATGATTTCCGGCCTTATAGCAGAGCTCCTCAAGGTGGCCACGGTGGCCGTGGAGGCCATGGTGGTGGCCATGGAGGGCCTGGAGGATATGGTGCATACAATGATTACATTAGTGCTGCTACAAGATATGCAGCACTTGGTACTCCTACCTTGTATGATCATCCAGGTTCTCTTTATGGAAGTAAGGCCCCTTTACAGTTTAACCTGTTTTACTATTCTTTTGTATGTTCTTGAACTACTAAGTGAATTTTAATACAATGATACTTTAATGATAATAATAGGGGAGCCCATTAGAGGAATTGGGAGAAAGATATTTGTTGGAAGGCTTCCCCAGGAAGCAACTGTGGATGATCTTCGCCAGTATTTTGGAAGATTTGGTCGCATTTTGGATGTATACATTCCAAAGGTAAATTTCATTTCCAGCACTGAACTACTGAAGTGATCATTGTTTTCTGGAAAATTAGCTGAGCTAAAGAAATAACTTCTTGGTGTAGGATCCCAAGAGATCCGGGCATCGTGGTTTTGGCTTTGTAACTTTTGCTGAAGATGGTGTTGCCGATAGGGTGGCTAGACGGTCTCATGAAATTTTAGGGCAGCCGGTAAGCAATGGAAACTCTTTAAACTACTTTTGCATTGATTTTGTTAGTACATACCAAAGTATGGATCTTGTAATTTTAAGCTTTATACTGCATATAATCTGCTGAGTACATTACTTGCTAGCTACCTCAAAGTCCTCAATGCCTGTTTCACTGACATCGAATATCTTAATATTGGATTCTTTTTGTACTTGGATATTAGCTTCTCTAGTTTTCTCACGCTTAGATTTATTCTTGAGCTACATATTTCCATATTAATTTCTTTCAGTATGTTATTGATTTGATCAAAGCTATAACGTTTATTAGCTTTTAAAATCACTACACTTGTTTGTATGTCTTATTTCTCCTTGTCTACCCTAAATGATTATTGTTGGCACTAAGGCTGTAAAAGTGTCCAGGTTACCAGAATTTTTAATGTTTAGAAATGTCTGTGAACACTTTGTAATTGGAGCATAATAATTTTGACCTTGATTTCTAAATTGCAGGTTGCCATAGATTCAGCTACACCAGTTGACGATGCTGGTCCTAGTGGAAGTCTGCTGATGGACAATCCTGAACCATATGGAGGTTATGGTCCTGTTCGTGGTACTTATGAAAGAATGTATTCCAGCCTGGATTTTGATGATGTGAGTATGAACTTACTGTTTACCAATATTATATATGATCCTGGAGCTAACCTCTTAATTTTTGACTGGGCGTGAAATTCATTAGTTATATGTGGATTTTGTTGGTTAGCTGTGTTGCATTCCGTCTCTATGATTTGAATATCACACTGTTGTAGTGTTGTTATATTATCTTTTTCACATAATAATGCGTATACTGCAGTATGATATCTTCAAAAGTGTGATCTTGCCTCTTTAGAGAGCGTTTCTGCTCCTAGAATATTTTACTTGTGCTAATGTGTTCTCTTCTGCACAGTGGGGTGGAGGCTATGGCTTCCAGAGCAGTTCAAGGCCTTCCAGAGCAGCAGATTGGAGGTACCGACCATATTAGAGTGGTGTCTCAAAGATAATGTAAACCTGATAGCTGATAGATTTCTGGGAGGTGGTTCGACCGTTTGTCAAGCAAGTAGAGTTGGTTTGTGAACTTTACGGACTTTTCTAGGAGCATTCAGTTCGGTTCAAGTAGGTTCTCCGTAGATGGCAATTCTATTAAGATGTTCATTAGGTTTCTGAAGTCACCCTTATCAAATGCTTTTGCTGAATACATATTTATTGAATGGGTTGATTGTTTATGTTCTGAAAGCTGCAACTTTGCTGCGATTTGAGCTCCTCTGTGATTTGCAGAGTTGGTTCAAGTTGTTAAGACTCAATTGATTAAGAATTGCTGCAGAATGATGTAATAAGGCAATGGCTTGAAGCAAAGTCTTAAATTATACAGTACATATGACCAACTAGATTGGCAACAAAAAGGAACGGGGAAGTAGTTTTCTTTTCGTGAACAAGCTCGACCTGTCTCCACATTTTTGTTATCTCAACTCAAGGTTCTTCAAAAATCGTATGTCAAAGAACATAGAAGTAGGACCAAATTATATGTATATGGAATTGTCCTTTTTGGGACTTATTGATAGTCAATTATTTAATATACACAAGAGATAAGTACACCCATTAACATAATACACGAGATATTGAGTCAATGAGGGCAGTATTTGAACAAATCTTGGGAGCCCAACATAGTAGAATTAACATAATCTTGAGGATTATGGTTGATGAAATCTGGACATAAGATGCCAATGTACCTGAGCCCAATAAGAAACCATCCCTCTTTATAATATGGGCCTGCTGTGAGTCCAATTATTAACCCTCTCATCAGCTCCCACTTTGCATTTAATGTTTTTATTATGAAATTCATGAATGACTTAACTATTTCATTCGGCATTCTCAGTATTTTTATCATAATACTTGCTTCCTTTTCATCTTTCTTGATTGCTTCTTCTTCAACTATCTGCATTAAGACATGTAAAATTTCATGCTTATTAGGGTAAAAAAAAAAAAATCATGTTTATTAAACTATCTATTAGACATAGTCTATGATTAACTTTTCAGAATTTTTAAATTAAGGGAGTTTTAGGATGATATGACACTTTCTACAACTTTAATATATACAAGAGTAATTGGAATCAACTATTCATTAAAAAATTACATGTGCAAAAACCTTTTTGTCCTAAGATCTTCAAAGTTCATGAATCATCATGGCTCTTAAGATTTTATAAAATTATTTTTTCTAGCTTCCTTAAATTGCAATAATTGGAGTTTTATCAACTTCTTATAATACTAATAAATTCTAGGAATAAACTTATTATTTGAATGGACTTTATCAACTCCTTATAATTCATATAGATAATTAAAAATGATTGAAGTTATACATTGACATACATAATTTTTTTTTAAAATAAAAATCTACCCGGTAAGATTAAGAGAAGAAACGTATGCATACCTTTCCACAATAGAAGCTGTTAAAGTGGATGGATGTCCCAAAGTGCTTGAATTTCATCCAAGCATTGTCAAAGGGAAGCCTAGGCACAATATCATAGCCATAAACAACCCTATAATACTTAATATTAAACTCTCTTAATTTCTTTTTCATAAATTTCCCAAAATCAGCATTTCCAACTCTTGGTTGACCAAAAGTATAAACAGCCTCCATTCTCTCTAATAATTCAACTTCTCCATGATAAGCCAATATTGCTGGAAATAATATTGCAAGTGCACCCCCTAAACTGTGACCAGTCACAATAAATTTTGCCCTTTTATTTTCTGCCATAATTTCTTTTAATTTATCTCTAATGACATAATAAGCAATAGGTTTTTCAGGGTCTTGCTCAATTTGGTTATTAGGAAAATCACATTTATAATCTTCATATAATAAACTAAATTCCCTTAGACCCAAGGCTATCATGAAACCCCTATGAGTTCTTCCCATTCCATCGATATGACACCATGAGTAATCGAAATCGGTGCACCAATCATATGCATCTGTGGTTCCTCTGAATGCTACAATGAATTTATCATCTTCTGCATTTCCCTCGCGCATTATGAATGCTTCAGTTGTTTTTGTCTTTAGATTTTCTGTCAACATACACCAAGTTTAATTAAATTTTACTATAATTAAATTTGATTTCTAGATAGTTTATAAATAAAAGGTGTTCATTACGTATGATATATGTAATATGTTGCACATATAACATTTATCGACCGTTGTCTTACCATTGTAACACTTGTAGAATTTCACAAACTCCATCTGCATGAGCATGAAAAAACCATGCCACAATTCAGCATAGTATAAATAATAATAATAATAATAATAATAATAATAATAATAATAATAATAATAATAATAATAATAATAATAATAATAATAATAATAATAATAATAATAATAATAATAATAATAATAATAATAATAATAATAATAATAATAATAATAATAATAATAATAATAATAATAATAATAATAATAATAATAATAATAATAATAATAATAATAATAATAATAATAATAATAATAATTTCATCTATCTAGGTAGTAGTCGGTTAAACTCACATTCCAATGACGAGAAATGACTTTTTTGATAAAAAGTTCATTTTCGTAGGCTATTTTAGCTGCCATCATTGAAAGTGCGGGATAATATCTTGCATCTCCATGCTTAATGTCTTTGTTGAGATCCATTCTAGTGTCAATATGTCCAATGACAGAGAGATAATCTTCACTTTCTTCATTTATCAACCTTTCCATTTTTCCTGTTTCAAGAACCATATAATAAATGAGAATTCTGTATATATACTCCGTATAAAACATATATAAATGCACACAATATGATTATATGTATTCCTTCATTTAAATTAATTTTAAGATGTTCTCATAAGAATTATGGGGTTAAAGTCTCAAATATGCTGTTACTAAAATATTGTCATGACAAGTAGTTGATGTAATAGAGAAAAATAGATATCAAACATTATCTTTGTAAAAATAAGCCATATCCTTGATGATAAGAAAAAAAAAATTATAGTGTGAAAATCAACTCTCAACAAGGTGAAAATAATTGCATACTTCGAAATATATTGCCATTGAAGATTTTTTCAAATATTGACCCAAACATCTGTATCAAAACTGCGATGAATATAAGAACTAATTGAGTCAGGAAAGAAAAAGCTCTCATCAACATATGGAAGTATATGTTCTCTTTGTCGTCGTCCATAGTATAATTCACTTAAAAAATTTATGATGAAATATAAAATGTATATTTTATGAGGAAACTACTTAAGAAATTGAAGAATAAGGGGAGAGGATCTAATATTTTCCTTCTTCCGTCCACGTACTAGAAATATTATTTGAGATTTAAAGAACATATATGTACTGTGTAACCCTAAAATGACAAGTATGATTATATGCTTAGCTACCTTACGTGCATGACGAAAAAAGAAAGGACTGTGTTTTAAGAAAAATGTTACTTAGGGCATAGTCCTTAGTTTAGAATATTTGCTTACTTGTTTACTTCATTATTCTATGCCTGTGCTGTTTTTCACGTGTGCTACTTTCTTTACACTTCGTATAAAATGGTCCGTTTCATATATGGGTTTAAGCACTTCAGCCCAATAATCTTGACATGTATAATACTGATAATTCAAGGGTCCAAGCCCACCCAATCTAAAGCGGTCAAAATCTATTGAGTAGTTAATTTATTTCACTATTTTATAGAGCAGTCAAAAGTTGATCCGACCCGAAATACCGACTCAAACTCGATTATTAACCGACTCATCTGAACCCGAAAAAAGGGTGCCCCAAACCCGACCTGGAACCAACCCTAGACTCGAGTATGTGAGACCCGAACCCGAACATGAACTGACTTGAAGATGACCCGATCCAAATGAAACCCGTAAATTATTGACCTAAGTCGAACCCGTCTTGAACCGAAATTGACCCAAACCCGTTTTAACCCGTCAAAACCAAAATTTAACTCGACTTGTTACTAACCTGGCCTGAATTCAACCCGACCCGAATTTAACCCAACCTGTTACAAACCCGACCTGAAATCAACTCGACTTGTTATTGACCTGACCCAAATTCAACCCGACTTGGTATTGACCCGACCCGAATTTTACCAGATCTATTACTAACCCGACCCAAAAATTCAACCAGATCTGTTACTAACCCGACTCGAAATCAACACGACTTGTTATTGACCCGACCTAAATTCAACCCAAATTGTTCCTGAACTGATTTCAAATCACCTTAAATGCAATTTAGACCACCTTATTATGATTGATCAAAGCATTTTGTCTAGGGAGACCAAGTCGGTCTAGGCCAGCAAAAGAAAGGAGCATCATCTGCAAATTTAAGAGTTAAATATAGTATATATATGTTGTATGGTTAAAGAAGATAATTATCTTCCTAAATTATAAACTATAGTTCCCTATTATATTGCCATATATATTATAGTCAAAGGAAATAATTAGCTTGATAAAAATGATAGTTATCTATTTATATTTAGTTGAATCCGAATATGACCTGACTTGGAAATGACCCGACCTGATTGTAACTGCAAATTATTAACTTGAACATAACCCGACTGGACTGCGAGAATGACCCGACTAGGAAATGACCCAACATGATTATAACCCGCAAATTATTAACTTGAACCGAACCCGACTTGAACCCGAGAATGAACCGACTTGAAAATGAACCGACATGATTATAACCTATAAATTACTGACTTGAACAGAACCTGACTGAAACCCGAAAATGACCCGACCTGATTCTAACACGCAAATTATTTACTTGAACCGAACCTGACTCGAACCAAAGAATTACCCTAACCCGTGAAAACCCGAATTAAACACGACCTATTATACACCGGCCCCGAATGTAACCCGACTTGTTATTAACCCGGCCTGTTATTAACCCGACCCAAACCAGATAAGAAGTATGACCCGACGCGACCCGACTTAAACATGACCCAACCAATCCCGACCCGCATAGGTTGTGGAATTAATCTGAATTGACCCGACCCGACCCACTCTTACCGACCCAAACCCAACCCCTATACTCGAATTGACAGCTCTACACGAAACCTCAAAAATTTCTCAAAAAACATGGAAATTAGCCTTCAATTTTGGAAAATTTTTTTTACTTTTTTTCACCCGGAAATAAATATTTCCAAAATGTTTACCATGGTCCCTAATACCCTCCGGAAGTCCAAATGGATGGGTGGAACCATCCAATTTGCCTTTAAACGACCAATTTACCGGTTTTCAACTTACACCAATTTCACTAATTCAAGTCTACCACGGACATTTATGACACCATGTAATGTTCATATACGGTTCCAAACGACATTATATGACT